TCTATCTATCATTGAAATCGAATGCTGTACTTGATTGTTATCTTGTGGTCGCGGATGAGAAGAAGACTCTTTTATGAGTAAGATGTGGCAATCACCTATCTATATATCTACACACGAACACACAAACACACACACACGCAAACACACACACATATATGTTTGTTTTATATCTGTCTATCTATTAAAGTAGTGCTTATCTATCTATCACAGTCTGTTCATATCTCCCTATTTCTTTTCGTATGTCTTAATGTCTATATGTATGCATGTAATCCATCTTTCGACCTCTCTCTACATTTATTCATGTCGATTTCTATTTTTATACACCTTTTCTAGTTTACCGCCACATCCTAACACTGTACGAATTTGCCTTAATACCTCTGTCATGTTCTGAGAGATTAGAATTCTTATATTAGCAAAATGAGAACTTTTAATTCATAAAAATTAGCACTTCTATACTGAGAATCCATTCCTTAAAATCAATTTCATATTAGCCTGAAGAGATATTTCCCCATGTATTACTTACTTTTCAAAGAATAACAATACTGCCCCAATAAACCTAATTTTCTTTTCCATTAAATCCATTAATTGAAGACTGAATTAGTTCTTTGTCGATTATTATAAATCCTCTTGAACTCCGAAATTATTGCATGACACAGACTCCAGCACACAAGTTGTTGTTCTATAGTTCTGTGTCGCAACTTTCCGTCGCAAATTTAGGTTAATAATAACGTGGAAGGTATTGTTTTATATATATATATATATATATATGTATATATATATATGTATATCCAAGTATATGATTGATGTATACGGAATAAATTCCAATAACCAACAAATACTATTCTTAAAAGAGTGCTCAATACAGAGTAGAGCAGATAAAATTATTTATTTAAAAATTATAACATAAATATGTTATAAAATCACTACAAAAATAGCCATTTTGTTTCAACACCTCCGGTGTCTTATCAAGTGTTGATAACCGGAGGTGCTGAAACAAAATGTCTATTTTTGTAGTGATTTTATAACATATTTATGTCATAATTTTTAAATTAATATATATATATATATATATATATATATATATATATATACCATAATTATTTTTTAAATCATTTTATTTCAAATTATTTATTTTTTATTTTTAAAATTATTATTATTATTATAAATAATAATTATAAATATTATTATATTATTATTAATAAATATTATTATATTATTATAAATAATATATATAAATTATTATTATTATTATAAATTATTATTACTATTATTTAAATTATTTATTTTAAATTATTTATTTTTAAAATTATTTTTAAATTACTATATATTATAATTATTTCTTATAATTATTTTTTTATTTTTTTTATTATTATTTTCTTTTTTACAGCGATGGAATCATATTTTAAAAAAATAATTATAATCTAGGCTCTATTTTGCATTGAGCACTGTTGAGCACTAAAGAACTTCGGATCATAAATTTAACGGCTCTTTTTCGTATTTGAGCAATATATTTGCATATATATATATATATATATATATATATATATATATATATATATATATATATTTTTATTATCATTATATATGTATTATAGTACTCCATCTGTTTCTTCTCATCTGTATATATATATATATATATATATATATATATATTAGTGTTGGGAATTTTGTACTTTTTGTAAAATAATTGATTTATTGTATTCTAATACGATGAACTTTTGTTAACACTAGGATGGCCGAGGAGTCGTTTTCGACACCTTCAATTTTTCAACCAATTACTATGGAATAACTAGTTTTGGTTCGATGCTGAGACTTATGGACAATTCTTGAATTTTAGCAAAGATGCTTAACAGACTTAATTCTTTAAAAGATATTCAGTCGAATAGCTGATATTTAAGGTTTTACCTTGAATGGCCGAGGTGTCGTTTTTGACTCCTAGGCTATTTATAGGGTAAATGCATTGAAAAATTTCTCACAAGCATATATATATATATATATATATATATATATATATATATATAATCACTTTCTTTCAGTATGAGGTATACTAATATTTGTGAATTTCTTTTCAGGCTTGTTATTCCTGACTTGAATATTGAATATATTAGAGATGGCTGCTTCACGGCGTAATGTAAATAAAGAATTCAAAAGTTTTGACCATCCTAGTGTTAAAAGAATGTTGCACCCGAACACAAATTTCTAAAATAATATGTAAGTATAAAATAATATGTAAAGGAATCATTAAAAATGCCACCTTCTGAAGAAATCACGATCTTTGTCTTTGAAATACAGTCGACATGATGGCTGTGAATTATGCAGTTTTCTTCAAGGCTACTGTGGAAATGGTTATGCCTCTTCTGTGTTACCTGGGAAGAAACATGAAGGGAGATCTGTTGCAGGTGGCATAATAGCTCGAAGACAGATATCGAATGATTGAAAAGGACAACAAATAAAAAACGAAAACTAGAGTAAAAAAAAACATTTGCCAGATTCATCTTTCTCAAAGAAAAATACATAAACAAAAATGATGTTAATATGAACGAAAGATAACTCTGCAAGCTCATGTATAAAGTGATAAATCGCGATTTCCTGAGAAGGACAGTTTCGTGTTCTCTAGAGAGAGGCGTGCTGAGAAGGACACAGTTTCGTGGTCGTTAGGGAGCGGTTTACTGACATGGACATTTTCGTGGTCGTTAGAGAGCGGTGTCTTGAGAAGGACAGTTCCGTATTCGCTAGAGAGTGGTTTCGTGGTCGCTAGAGAGCAGTGTCCTGAGAAGGACATTTTCGTGGTCGTTAGAGAGGGGTGTCCTGAGAAGGACAGTTTCGTGGTCGTTAGAGAGCGATGGCCTGAGACGCATTCAGTGTTAGTGAATCAATGGCTACACTAACGCTAGTATTAGTAACGGTGTACTTGAATGCTCAAAAAATATTCTTCATAAACACTAAATACCGGGGAACTATGGATGGCTTATAAATAATACTAATAAAATTTTGAGTGTGATGTTTTAGATTCGGTAAAATCTATTTGCTGTTTTAGAATCGTTTGAAAGAAGCGGATATTTTTGCGAAATATGTTCATAACTCTCGTGTAATATTTTTCGAAATGCGAGCAAACTTCTGGTGCCAATTGATTCACAATGTCTAGATACCAAACCATAATTTTTCATCAGAACAGTTACCATGAAAGACGAGGCAAATATATTCATTTCAATGATGAATGACAGACTTATAAATGTGTAAGATGTATTCTGGTGGAGAAAACTTGTCTGGTACAACACAGTGAACCAAGTTTCCTTGCAGCGGACCTAGCAAGTGATTAGCTTTAATCTATAATGGATTATTTGTGGCGTTCGATTTGGGCCTTGGTAGGATTAACCCACTATAAGGGAGGGATCTATGAATGAGTAAATAAAACACGATAAACTACATATCAAGAACTATCAAGCTTGGAGTTTAACAATATTAATTTATATAAACATTAATAAGAAAATATGTGGATATAGATCCGACAGTATGAAGAAAAATATGGAAAAACAAAAAATATGCAAGTATGCTGTTTTAATGTTGTTTCAATGTCGACGTCAGACGTTTCGATCTAGTAGACCTTCTTCAGGACATAGTTATTAAAACATAATTAAAATTAGACGATATTTAAGTCAACATGAAAAGACGATAGACATAAGACTAATCAAAACAGAATAACTGAAATTTCTTAAGATCATCGTTCCGTTTCACAATATGATCACGTCGGCGTCACGTGGGCGATGTTATGAAAACGTATTTATTCCTAAAATAGAGTTTATTTTAAATGAAAAAGAATTTTATTTTAATCTAAAATTTATATGTACGTTTGTCCAGCATTAATCTTGTTAGAAAAGGGGAAATATTAAAGAAGCCGGGTCTAGTATTTACCGTGCGTGAGATAAATATTATGCCTGCCTCATAAATCCGTCTAAGATTTTTATTATGAATATATTTTAAAATCTTCACAGAATCAAAATCGAAATTATGATCAGATTTAGTTATGTGTGTAAATAAAGCATTGAAGAAGGTCTACTAGACCGAAACGTCTGACGTCGACACTGAAACAACATTAAAACAGCATACTTGCATATTCGGATTTTTGTTTTTCTATATTTTCCTCCAAATATTAATAAGTAGTTTCGTATTGTACAAAAATATTACTAATGTTCATAGATGGCACAAGGCTGGTATTTAAATAAGATGAAATACTTTTATTTATTTATTTATTTATTTATTTTTGTTAAATTTCAATGAATACAAGAGTTTGTAAAAGGTTGAAGGTTGTCTATTGATCCGGAAACAGATATCGAATGATTTAAAAGAACAAACAAAACGAAAACTAGAGTAAAAAAAAAAACATTTGCGAAGTTTATGTTTGTTAAAAAAAATACATAAACAAAAATGATGTTAGTATGAACGAAAGATAACCCTGCCAGCTCATGTATAAAGTGAGAAATAGCGTTGTCCTGAAAAGGACAGTTTTTTTGAGAAATGCTAGTTTCATTTGGTAATATTAATAAGAATAATGAGATAGAATGTATGAGACAAATAAAGGAGAGTGAAAATGACGAGAAAGATGTGAAGAGTCGTTGTTGATGCCGAGATGTCTATGATGTTGTAAGTATTCGTCTCTCTGTGTCTTCTCTGTGTGTCCCCTGTTGGAATCTCTTCTTTTTCTCTTAGATAGTGCTCTATTTATATTGTTAGCGAAACTGAAAGAGGCTCCGATAAAACTGTTGATTATTTCAGGCGCACCCATTTCTTATTGGTGAACATATATTTATTTAGGATTGTATTTAATCAACTTCAACTGGACGTCATGCAGGGAGCCTATTGCGCGAAGCCCGAAATATTTCATTATGTTTTAAGCTATGAAAGAGATAAGGACCTGTTTCTGCTTTTAGAGCCACTACAAGATTAGAAGAAAACAGTTTCGTTTTGAAGACGTTAAAATTAGCAAGACATTCATTGCCCAGTTAATAACAAAATAGGTCATTTCTTGCATCAGATAGACGATAAAGACAAGTAGATAGATAGATAGATAGATAGATAGATAGATAGATAAAGAAAGAAAGAATAGAGAAATAGAATATAAACATTAATGCGGAGAATGAGATAGATTGATAGATAAAGAAAGAAAGAAAAGAAAAGAATAGAAAATAGAATATAAACATTAATGGCGGAGACTGATATATATATATATATATATATATATATATATATATATATATATATATATAGATAGATAGATATAGATAGATAGATAGATAGATAGATAGATAGATAGATAGAAAAAAAAAGAAAGAAAAAGAAAGAATAGAAAATAGAATATAGACAATAATGGCGGAGACTGAGATAGATAGATAGATAGATAGGGAAAGAAAAAAAAGAAAGAAAACAGAAAAGAAAGAACAGAGAAATAGAATATAAAGATTAATGGCGGAAACTGAGATAGATAGATGATAGATAGATAGATAGATAGATAGATAGATAGATAAAAGAAAGAAATAAATAATAGAGAAATAGAATATAAAGATTATAAAATGGCGGAAACTGAGATAGATAGATAGATAGATAGATAGATAGATAGATAGATAGATAGATAGATAAAGAAAGAAAGAATAGAGAAACAGAATATAAAGATTAATGGCGGCGACTGAGATATATATATATATATATATATATATATAGATAGATAGATAGATAGATAGATAGATAGATAAAGAACCGATCAGAATTACCATTTTATTTCTTGTCATGATCTTATACGCTATAAAAAGACGAAAACTGTAAACGGCCTCTTTACCTAACCTTTTTGCTATTTTATCGGAGTTAACTCCTCCTTAATTTCATAATTGTTCAAATTGTTCCTAGCGGGAGCTATCCCTAAACTATAAATACTTGAGAATACCTCTCTCTCTCTCTCTCTCTCTCTCTCTCTCTCTCTCTCTCTCTCTACACTTTTCAGCGGACACACTTGAAAAATGTGATCTCTCGTGAAGTTACGCCTTTCCCACGAGGCGGTTGCACTTAACTGTTTTGCCAGTGAAAGAGTGGGGCCGAGATGCCCGCCTAGTATCACGACGTTTAAATTGGGGAACCAATAAAAATAGCTCGACAGAGGTGTTGCTATGAAAATATTTGTAGAAAAGACGGAGGGAAGCAACATACGTCTGTGAGAAATTGACTGGAGTCGAGATGCCAGGTCAGGACCTATTAGGTTGCATATCCGGCTTTGGGTTTTGTTGCGAACCTCGAGATATGAACAGCGGGGGCACCTGACCATATATGGCAACAGTATTCAACACAAAGAGGGAATGGTAGATTTAAGGATTTGAAGAATGGACTCAGGCGTGAAAAAAACTTTCTGGCATGACACAGAGAATCAACTTTTCTTGGGGTAGATGCCCCTATTGACTCAATGCAGTTGTCGCACCTCAGGTCAGTGGAAAACGTGAGACCAAGCAGGCGCAGAGACATATGACGAACATATTAAGAAGCAAATATGAACAAAGAATTCCTGAAAGTACTGTTGAGATACTGGTACAAGTCTGACAAGATGAACACATTAAAGCTACGCTGTTTAATATGCCCACTCGATATAAATACCTATCTAGCTAGCTAAGTCTCTTCGAATGTATCTATGTAAGTATATATGTATTCAATCTCTCTCTCTCTCTCTCTCCTTATTTAAATTTACTAATATCAGTTGCTATCTATCTATCTATCTATCTATCTATCTCAGCCTCAAGCTATCTCTGTTCATATCTATCTATCTATCTATCTATCTATCTATCTATCTGTTTCAGCTTAATCTTATCTATCTATCTATCTATCTATCTATCTATCTATCTATCTATCTATCTATCTCAGTCTATTCATATCTATCTATCTATCTATCTATCTGTGCTTATTCATATCTAAGCGTATTCATACCTATCTCTCGGTTTCAGCGTATTCTTATCTATCTATCTATCTATCTATCTATCTATCTATCTATCTCAGCTTCGTCATATCTATCTATCTATCTATCTATCTATCTATCTATCTATCTATCTATCTATCTCAGCCTCTTCATTTCTATCTATCTAAGCTTGTTCATATCTATCTATTTATCTATCTTTTTCAGTCTCTTCATTATCTATCTATCTATCTATCTATCTATCTATCTATCTATCTATCTAAGCTTGTTCAAATCTATCTATCCATCAATCTATTTTTTTCAATCACTTTATATGTAGGTATGTATCTATCTATTTCAGTCCGTATCTATGTATGTATCTATTTATATATTATATCGTCTCATATATGTATCTATCTATTTCAGTCTCTTCATATGTATGTATGTATGTATCTATCTTTCTCAGTCTATTCATATTTGTCTATCTATCTCTTTTCGTATGTCTATGTATATATGTATGCATGTGTGTATGTAATTTATCTCTCTCTCTCTCTCTCTCTCTCTCTCTCTCTCTCCCTATCCAAATTTATTAATGTCAATTGCTATTTACAAATGCCTTCTCTAGTTTCGCGCCACATCCTAATGATGGAAGTATTTTCCTAAATGCGTCTGTCATGTTCTGAGTTATTCGAATTTTTATATAAGGAAAATGAGAATTTTTAAATTAGCGCTTCGATATTGAGAAACCATTCTTTAGAACAATTTCATATTGGCCTAAAGAGATATTTGTCCGTGTATTACTTATTGACGAATGAATATAAAAACTGCGCCATTAAACCTAATTTTCTTCTCCATTTCGTCTTTAATTGAAGACTGAATTAGATTTTTTTATCCATTATCATACTTCCTTCTGAACTGTTTTCGGTTAATTATAATGTAGGAAAGTATTGTCTATATATATATATATATATATATATATATGTGTGTGTGTGTGTGTGTGTGTGTGTGTGTGTGTGTGTGTGTGTGTGTAGGACATCTAACGTAGACCTGTTTAACAAGTGTAATATTGAAGGAATCGATACTTTTCTCATACAGTCTCAGTTACGGTGGACTGGTCATGTCTTGAGAATGTCTGATGAAAGGATACTCAAGATCCTAATGTACAGCCAGTTAGATCAGGGCTACAAGAATGTAGGACACCCATGGCTTAGATACAAAGACAAGCTGAAGAGCAACTTGTCAGCAGTCAATATACCACATAACACCCTTGAGCGCTTAGCCTTGGAGCGGGTAGAATGGAGATCAACGTGTTTTAGTGGACTCAGCAATTTTCAATCTGCTTGTCTAAATCGTCTTCAAGAAGCGAGAGCAAGATCTAAAAGGTCAACCAATCTAACAGTGATCTCATACCACAATCCTCACTCTTGCTCCATATGGGAAGGCACAGTGGGATAGCGAAATATGCTCTCCAAAATCTAAGCAATGTATTAAAAAACAGGAAAATTTCGTTAGAAACAAAGAAAATAGAGGTGAACTGTTATGTGATATCGATCATATAAGGTGATAGCCTTATTTCTCGGACATTCGGGCTGGTAAATGTCGTTAATACTGTTTTTTTTTTTACAAACAGAACATTTACTTAAATATTTGTATCTATAAAAAGAACGTATAAACGTAAAAATGTCTTAAAATAATTGTCGGACTTTGTCCATTTCATAATGTGTGACGTCATTTGTTTACATTTGGATACGCATCGAGCAGATATGAATGTACGAGAGAAAATCATAGATAATTGTAGTTTAAAAACAGTAAAATCGACCTTGCTAACGGAAAGGCTCCTCTGTGGCTAACTCGGTAAAAGCACGCCAGGCTAAATGACAGTTCCGTATAGGATACAGGTTCGATACCTGTCAGAAGACGTATATGTTCGATGGAGATTTCTGGCAGGTAAATGTCGTTAATACTGTTGATTATAAACGGAGAATTTACTTAAATATATTTTATCTATAAAATGAACGTATAAACATAAAAATGTCTTAAAATAATTGTCGGACTTTGTCCATTTCATAATGCGTGACGTCATATATATATATATATATATATATATATATATATATATATATTTTGTATGAATAAGATATATTAAAGGGTAATAAACAATCAAGAAGAAGAAGAAGAGGGAAGAGAAGAAAAGCAAGGGTACTGTAACTGTGGGGTGTTTTTTGAATATCTACTAGATCTTACACAACCGTCAATAATAGCAGATATTCAAAAAACATCTTTCGGTCGACATACAGGTATATCGTCTGAAGTTTTTGATTTTATAAGGAAAAAAAACACATGCCTGATGATGAATAGAAGACTATTCGTAAGTACTAGCATTTTAACATCAAATAAACTGAAAACTACAGACAACAAGTTTATCGACGAGGATTAAACTCGCACTATGGATGAACAGGATTTTAATGCATATATTATGTTTTCTAGCGATGGATGTCGCCAATAATCGCATTAATACTTCTGATTGATTCTATGTGTGATTATTTCTTTGTATATATATATATATATATATATATATATATATATATATATAAGAATAAGGTATATTTAGGCAGCAAATATTCATACAAACATGTTTGATTAAAAGGAACCGAAAAGGTCTGTCTGCTTAGTTTTTATTGTATTTTTTCTAATCTTCGGATAAAGTGCCGAGTCTTGTGCTTGAAGTCGTAGATAAACCGTGCGTAAGCGTCAGATGCTATTTTTGTCCAGGTACTTTTGATTTTCGCTGTCATTATCAAGAGCCGATGTTTAGTCTGTGGCAATTAGCATTCCTTTGTCTGCATTCTGGTATTCTTTAAGAAGCTGGGCTTTTGCAATGTTCTAACGTGACGCCCTGTGTCACGTTATATAGAGGGTGTTAATATGTTCGTAGCCTAATGGAAAATATTATAGTATTTATTGATTAGCTGAAAAAAATGTAAAACTGGGCAAGACTTAAGATGTTAATAATATCGTAACTTTCTTTCCTTCAACGAAGCATTAACCGTACGACTCATTATTGTACAAAAAGAAGATCTGAAATCCAATCCCTCAACAATTGGAGAATAGTAAGCTCTAATCAGGCAAAAAAAAAAGTTATTTTATGTGTCTATTCATCTTGTAGAGATCATGGCACTCCATTACTTCCGGACATTTTTGCGGTAGGAGATATACAATACTTTACCATTTACCTGGTATTCTTTGGGAATCTGGGCTTTTGAAATGTTCTAGTGTGACGCATTGTATTACACAAAGGCTTCACACTATTGGGAACGAGGCCTTACAAAAGAATGTGATTTATCTATTTATTAAGTAAATTTGAATAAGTATTTTTTATTTTTATACTTTTTTTATCATGAATGATATGTGGGCTGTTTAATGTGGGCTGTTTTTTTTTTGTATAGTAATAGCTTCATTTTTATAAGATTTGTTCGTATATATATATATATATATATATATATATATATATATATATATTACATTACTCGGACTATTGTCCCCATCTTTGTCGCCATATTTATCTCAATGTTTCGGCCGTTGTACGCTCCGGCCTGAAGAAGGTGGTTGGAATTTCGAACTGAACCCTTTATTTCGCTCACTGGGGTAGACTGCTCTAGTTCCACGTACCATGTTTGATGGATGTCAGTTATCAGTTATCTCCTGTTAATTTCCCTCTGAAAGTTCTCCACTGCCTTAACCGGGTATTGAACTCACACTCTTTGGGTCCTGTCACTGGATCTAACCAACGCCTTTATCCACTTTGTCATGTGTCCTTAAGGATAATGTAAATAATGTACATAATACCTCATCTCAGAA